GAAGTAAGCCTATTCTTCATCTACGACCGTCGAAGTGCAGACAGCTGTTCGTTTTCTGTTGCTAGATGAATTACTGAAACATTCTGTATCTCAAAACATGAAACTGACTTATTTATGTCCGTTACTCCTAACGAAGAATCGGCCGATTTCTAGAATTCACCAGTCTACTCTATCCTAGGCCTTCCTTTCCAGCTCATTCTTTATATGTCTGTTTTCGAGCCTCGGCTCAATGTATTCCCTAGTCTTCCTTTGAAGATTCCAAATGAGGACTTGTCTTGTGATGCAGTTAGATGCTATCCTCATTGTGTTTCCTACCCAATTCTAGCACTTCTTCTTGATTTCTTCCGTAGCCGGCGGGATCTGGTTTGTTCTCCTCCACGGTAGGTTGCTGTTGATGGTGTCTGGCCAACGCATGCGAAGTATTCTGCATAGACATCTGTTGATAAACAATTGTATCTTCTAGTTAATGGGTTTCGTAGTTCGCCAAGTTTCCACCCCATTCAATAAAACTGTTTTAACATTTTTATTGAAAATCCTGACTTCGGTGTTGTTTGATAGACACGATAACAGTATTGACCTACAGTGGATCCAAATAAATTGTTTGATATTACAAAGTATATAGCTTTTCATGGATATTTCAAAACAATGCAACTAGGTGTCAGAATGATGCTGAAATGTTCAATTATACAATACTTATCAGAGAATGTGGGACAGCACAAAATCTACTTACAATTTAATAACATCACTGCTATACTACCATTTCTATTAACAGACTTATTCATTTATATTACTGAATTCAATATTCAAGTGAAGATAATGCGATGGCGTTTGACAAACCTCTCGGACGCTTTTGGTTTCACTGCAGATTTATACTTGACCAGAAGAAGATTATATATATATATATATATATATATATATATATATATATATATATTTATATTTATATATCACCAATCTTAACATTCTATAAAATGTACATCTCAAACCTTAGAACAATAACCTTGCTATTTTTTTTTCTCTAAAAATAATTCCGTATTAAACAAAAAGGTAGCATACGGGACGGATGAGATGATATTTAATTGACGTTTGATAAACTGTTATTTTTAAAAAAATATTTGTTTTAAAATGAAGTTAAATACTTTTCATAAAAAAACATAATCTTCTACAATAAATACATAAATATATTTATTTATTTTGTTGTATTAGTGAAGATTTAAAATCGTGCATTTTTCCTGCTTTCATTTGTTCAAAGTTCAATTTCGATATTGACAATTGATTTTGTGTTATTTTATCATGATGGAATCTATTGTTTATATTAGAATAAAAACACTGCTGGTCAATCAGTCATGCTTACTGATATTGAATAATTTAAAAGAAAGTGTAGTGTAGTGTAAACTTTCTATGATTTTACAAAATTGTACAAAATCAAATCATGCAAAACAAACCATATATATAATTGACATCCACTGTTTATTCAATAAACAAAGATATTTTTTCAAATAAATTGTATCTTGAATCATGTGTGGGTGCATTTCAAAGTCACCGACGTCGTGGTTGTTGTTGGCGTTGTTGTTACATTTTTAACACAAAGAAATAACCTTATCCTCGTATGAATTTTCAGGAGTAGACCTTCTACCAGGTGGATCGCTTATCGACTTAGAATATGCCGATGACATAGTCCTACTTGATGAAGACGCTGAATAAATGCAGAGTCTTCTAACTACCCTAAGCAACAATGCAAGTATGTTCGGGTTGTGGTTTTCCCGCTCGAAATGCAAAATGTTGCTTCAAGATTGGGTTGCATCGGCATCTGAACTAGTGATTGGGAGTGAAGTAGTCGAACATGTAGACCGCTTCACCTATCTTGGGAGTCTCATCAGCGCTGATAACCTGGTGACTGACGAAATCTCAGCTCGGATACAGAATGCTCAATTGGCTTTTGCCAACCTGCGTCACTTATGGCGTAGGCGAGATATCCGTTTGCTGACTAAAGGACGAGTGTACTGTGCAGTAGTTCGCTCCGTCTTACTTTATGGCTGTGAAACATGGCCAGTGAGAGTAGCAGATATTCGTAGGTTACTGGTTTTCGATCATAGGTGTCTTCGAAGCATTGCTCGTATATCCTGGGACACCCGAGTGAGCAACGCTGTTATTAGGAATCAGGTGCTAGGTAAGAATGGCAGATCAATAGACGCAGTAGTGACACTTCATCAGTTGAGGTGGTTGGCACATGTGTTGCGTATGCCTAACCACCGACTGCCTCGAAGAGCTTTATTTTGTAATGTAGGAGTAGGTTGGAAGAATGTTAGGGGCGGCCAAACCAAAACATGGAAGAAATCCATGAAGTCGTTGACTAATCGCAATGTCGCCAGTGCATTTATTCTTTGCGTTCTCTCAAATTCTAATCATCTAGATTCTTCAACTTTGTAAACGTTTCTCACTGAATCATTTTTCTTGAATAATATGTTCTAATCCTAACCTCTCCGATTACTTCTAATACCTTTACTACCTCTTCTATTATTATGGGATTTGAATTGACAATTATATCTCTGTTGTGATGTGGTATGGCAACATGAACTGATGATGTACTTACGTACGAAGTTCTACGTTGCATCTGACTGACTGACTGACTAACACATAGATATTCATTACACACAAAAAAAAAGATTATTTCAGGTATGAAGACAATTTTATGTATGTATGATACATGGTCAGGAAAGAAAGCAAAAAAGTACAACAATACCAGTAACAATAGTGCAAATATCTTTGTTATTTGATTCAAAACTAATCAAAATAACATTCTTTCTGATTCAGAACAAAATAGTTTTGTAATGAAAGTCATTTTAATTTGACAAGAATGTTGTAACATTACTAAAAATATCTCAATGTACTATAAGTAGTGTGGATTATTTGAATTAGATAATTATGAAGTAATATAATTTACTTACTAACTTACTTACTTACTTAATTACGCCTGTTACTTACTCCTAATGGAGAATCGGCCGATTACCAGAATTCACCAATCTCTTCTAACCTAGGCCTTCTGTAGGGTTCGTCACTAGTTATGCTTGAAGCTGTTAGTCGGTAAATGCGAACGAGACAATTACTAGCATCCAGATAGGCTACCCAAACTGAAGATAGAAGACTTGGTAAGCGTAGAAAGTATATTCTACAAACACCCAGCAATTACAATACAATCAAGCATACAACTCTCGTATATTTATACATCATAGAAACGTCCATGGGACAGTTACGAAAAAAACACACTAAAATACACAGCAGCCAATCATAGCCATGGATTTTCCTGGTTGATGGGAAATGAAATCTCAAGGTCAACTGATCCGCCCATGCTAGCAAACGTGAAATCTAAATTAAAGCATTTATCAAGAGAGTTTTGGGGATCTGACATCCCCAACACCTTCCTTGCGAATTCTATCCAACGGATAGTCATTCATTCTATGTGTGATTCTCATTCTCAATGCACTGTGTTCCCTGGTCTTCCTTTTTTCCTTTGGTTTTGAGGATTCCAATTGAGAGCTTGTCTCAAGATGCACTTGGTTGCCTTCCTCAAAGTGTGTCCTATCCACTTTCAGCGCTTCTTCCTCACTTCCTCATCAAATGGAGGAATCTGATTTGGTCTCTATCCTTGTAGTTTGTTGCTGATGGTGTCTAGCCAACGGATATGACAAGTTTATTTACTTGCCTACTTACTTACGCTTGTTACCCTTCGTGGAACATAGGACAAATAAGACCAGTAATCCCCAGCTCCCTTTATCCTTGGCTCTCCTTTCTAGTTGTTCATAAAAGCTATTCATTCTCTCAGCGTCTTCCTCCGATTACAGACGCAATGTGTTCCGTAGTATTTAACTTTTCTATTAGTCTTGGGGATTCTAAGTTAGCAATTGCCTTGTGATATAAAAAATATCTCGACTAAAAACTTCAAAACAAAGTTGATAGTCTGAATGAGAATGTAAATTTCCCATTGAAAATTTGAAATTTTTGGGATACTTAAAAATGAGAATTTTTTTATAACTATTTCAGAAGACTACAAAACAGAAGGAAATCATTTACCTCAGGTACAATAGAGAGTTAGCAGAGTCCGCTCTTACAATTGCTACGCATGTATAACCACTATCAGGCAGACTTTATTCCATTCCTTCTCACGGCAATGTGGTATCCGGAATAGAGACAACAAACGGTTGGTTGTTGGATATGGCGAATCCTGTCTAGGGAAGTTGGAAAATCCTCAATTCAAGTCAATGGTGCCCATTGGCTCTATCGTTCTGATGTAACAAATGAACTGTATCAGCTAACATCGCTCCAATGCTTTGTGAATTAGGCTTTATGAGTGGCTTCCCACAGAAATCACTTTCTTAAGTTTGACCTTCAGACAATATATCCAGCTCACTCACAAATTCACTAATATGTATGGCGCATCAATATTTACATGCCTCTTTATAAAAATAATAATAACGTGTGCAAACAGTAAACACTTCATCATTTTGATACTTTTAACTATATCGATAAGAAACTAACATGTGATCAAGAAAAGTGTTATCTCATATAAATTTGGTTGACTAGTTTATTAGCAAACAACCACTCCATTCTGATTTTCAACAATATTATGACTGATTGATTTACTTTTGAACGGGTTAGTTGACTTACTCTGATAATGATGAGTACGTCATGTTTAAATTTTCATTCACGTGACTATGGCTGATGATACATATGATTGGTGAACTATGGTCATATTCATTCTATGCTTGTCACACACTCAAACAATCAATTAATATGCATGAAATAAGTTGCCAAAATTAAAATAATTCCCAATTCACTGAACTGATCATGATTATCATAGTTGTTATTAGTAGTAATAGTAGTAGTAAAACGCGCGCTAATTGTTTAGAACCAAATCAACCAATCGGGTGATGACCTTGTGAAACAATGAATCTGATTGGTTTAATATTTGTATAAAATTCAGTTATTAGTAATAAACAGCTAAACTAATCATTCATTATTCAACTTGTTGATTTTTCAACAACAACAACAAAAAAAAAACAAAATCACAAATTACACATTACAATGAAATTGTTTATTTGGACAATAATAATTTTTGCCAGTTTCTTTATTGATCAATATAATGCAGAAAAAACTAGTTGTGGTTGTAAGTTTTCATAGATTTCAGTTTTAATTTTTGAAAAAAAATAATGAAAATTATAGTTTGTTTTATTTTAAACTGAATAATTTTTAAAAAAAATCTTGTATCGCTTAGTTCAGATTGAATTTAAATTGTGTTTCGTTTTTCTCTTAGAACAGATAATGAATTTTTCATTTTAGAGTCATTTTAGAATGCTGTTTATTACTGAAATCCTGAAACAATCATTGTTAGACCTGCCACCATTAGAAACCTGGAAGCATTGAAGTTGCGGCCGTTTTATCCTAGTATGGGACTCATCAGTGTCAGTGAGCATGAGAGATTCCTGCCACTCGCAGGATTTGTAAAGGAAACCTCTGGAGATTAGGAGGTGTACTGCTATTGATGAGTGCCATACCAGGACGAAACGGCCTTGCGAGTGCTTTCAAATTACTAATAGTAGTTTAACAATGTTTGATTCATGATTTTAGAAATAAGTAATAGTTATAAAAAATTTTGTTCATTCCTCTCATGTGTCTCCATTTATGGACGTGATGTGTCCGATGGTCTTCCTGTTTTCTTTTGGGATTGAGGGTCCCAAGTGAAGACTTGTCCGGGGACGTAGTTCAGTGACTTCCACTATCTATGTCTAATCGACCTCTAGCACATTTTCCTGATTTCTTCTTCCACTGGAAACTCTACCACAGTAGGATGTTGCTGATAGTGTCTGGTCAGCGAACCCGACGTGTTTTGCGTAGAAAACTTTTACTGACCACTTATATCTTGGGGGGTGATGGCTTTGGTAGTCGTTCGAGTTTTCTCATATAGCAGAACTTCCTAGACATTTGTATTGAAAATTATGACCGTGGTGTTTGTCAGCAGTTGTTTCGAGTTGCCGATGTTATTGCGTTGTAAAAATGCTGCCGTTGTTTTGTCAATCCGCACCTTCATATCCACCTTGTTCATCAACGATGCTACCTAGATATGTAAAGATTTTTAGCATTCTCCGACTTATCTCCATCAAATATGATTTGGTTGGTGCATGTTGTGTTGTATCGGAGAATCTTGCCTCGTACTTCTGAGTTTCGTTTTCATATAGAACTCATTAGCAGTGATCTTATAAGTGGGAATCGAACCCGAGACGTTCGATTTCGAATGAATAATTTTGGCTATGACCAGCTGCTATTTTTAGTAAGTTGGTGGTTTTCAACTAGATGGGGTCGTCAACCCCATGCTCAACCCTCTGTGGTGGATGTCGGCTCACCAGTTCTGTGGCGGTCGGTATTCAGTAAAGTTCCTAAACTTCGTATACTGCTCATCTTGGCAAGCGTTACTAGATAACACCCACCGGTATATAAATCAAAAGACGAATACGAAGCGTTGATTACGCTTTTTATCGCACCACACACGCACACACACATCACAGAACTACTGACATACTATGCAAATGTGAAAATGACATGAGAGTGCCCGAAGAGAGAGAGAGAGAGAGAGCCAGTCAATGGTATTAAAATGTACACATATATATATGCACATTAAAATCAATGAGTCATCGGATTATTTAAGCGGCTGACATTAACGCTCAAAGAGAATGAATATGCATGTAGGCGGTAATCAATGCTTAATCATACTTGTGCATACAAACGCGGCAGTAATAAAAGCACAGTGGTATAGCTAACTTATTGCTATACAACTGACTGTCTGTTCAATAAGTTATTCGAAAGGGCTTAACCAAATTAAATGCTTAAACTATTATTAGTTTACCTTAGTCAGTAAAGGAGAGCGAGGATCGATAATCCGGCGATATGAAAGTCTACTCTAATCCGAGCGTCCTAAACACCCATTAGGCTAAAGAAAAAGACTCGGCATGAAGTAGAACATGTATTCTAAAAGCATCCAGAAAGTCCAGAGGTCCGAGTTCACAAGAAGATAAGGATCCCGAATCAAGGAGCCGGGTCATATAACGTTACAGATAATGCATATTTAATACAGTTAGAATATATCCAAACACAAACTCAAGTGTATGTCAGTTGCTCTACCTCCCCCCCCCTTAACTGAGCTTGACACCAACAGAAACCCTAAAACGGCTCCATGCGAAGTTTTAGTCTTTCATGAAGGTAGGAAAACAGTTTTCTTTACTACCATTCTCTTTATTGATAATTATCCGGAAAAAAAAGGTATTTTTCATTTCATTTCAAAAATCTGAATAATTTATTTATTCAGATTAAAAACAAAAGAATCTTTTATAAATCGCGTGTTATTATAAATACACTGTAATCAATATAGATAGATGGATTAATTTTTCAACGAAACTAGAATAAATACAGTTGAAATTTCTTACTTTAATTCATCAAATTCAAAATTATCGTGAATTTTAAATAAGATGTTCATTTTGTTATAAAAATTATTAGTTATCGTTGTTATTATATTCTTATCGTGATTGTATTTGTTGTTGTTGTTGGACTAAAGGTATTTTATTTTCTGATTGTTACATGGGATGTAAAAATGTCATCATGAGATGACCATTGAAATGTTAATACACATTATTATTATGAATTGCATTGTTTCCTTAGTACGTTTCATGTTACAATTCGTACATTATTTTATATGTAACAGATGAAATATTAATTTGATAAGGTCTGTGACCAGTAAGGTAGTTGAACCCTGTCGGATGTAGGCAGTTATCTATCTACTGAAGACAATGAGTGATGAGGTTATGCGAAATCGTTAGATTGATCAAAGTTAGACATTAACATTGTTGGATGCTGGCTGAATGGTTCTATAGAGATTACGTGTACACGCTCAGAACACATATTTGTACATATTATTCGGTAGATATTGTCTTCGGCTCATGGAGACAAATTAGAGGGTTAACATGTAGTATCGTGAACATATATTCAATTTGTAATGTTCTTTTACCGGTTTTTTCACAGATCCCTACATTGAAAGTCACTTTTGTATAAAAATACATTTTCTCATTCTATAGAGTGATGTGTAGTTTGGTATGTTAAGCAGTATAAACTGTTGGTTTGAAATCTAACGAAACATTTTGTATAAGCGCTGGCTATGATCTGAACTTCGAAGACGACTAGTGTAGCAGCAGCCTCTGCAGTATCAACAGGTCTCAGCATATATTAAGGGAAAAATAAAATTCTGCGATACAACACAACATGTACCAACAAAATTACTCTCGATGGAGATGCCTTGGAGGACGTTAACACCTTTACATATCTTGGCAGCATCATCGACAATCAAGGTGGATCTGATGCAGATGTGAGGGCACGGATTGGCAAAGCAAGGGCTGCATTTCTACAATTGAAGAACATCTGCAACTCCAAACAACTTTCAACCAAAACCAAAATCAGGATTTTCAATACAAATGTGAAGACAGTTCTACTGTATGGAGCGGAAACTTGGAGAAATACGAAAGCCATCATCCAGAAGATACAAGTATTTATGAACAGTTGTCTTCGCAAAATACTTCGTATTCGTTGGCCAGACACTATCAACAACAATCTACTATGGGAAAGAACAAACCAGATTCCAGTGGAGGAGGAAATCAGGAAGAAGCGGTAGAAGTGGATAGGACACACACTACGAAAAGCACCTAACTGCGTCACGAGAGAAGCCCTCACATGGAACCCTCAAGGCAAAAGGAAGAGAGGAAGGCCAAGGAACACATTAGGCCGAGAAATAGAGAAATATATCAGAAGAAAGAACAAAAATTGGACAGGATTGGAAAGGGAAGCACAGGACAGAGTAGGCTGGAGAACACTGGTCGACAGTCTATGCTTCATTGGAGGTGACAGGCATAAGTAACTAAGTAAGTAAGTAAGCTGGCTATGCACTTCTGGGTTAACATGCAGACAAGGTTGAAAGAATGAAACTGTCAAATTTGTGGATCAGTAAGAATTTAGAGTTGAATGAAAGTTGTTCGGTGCTAAAAACGTGATTCGAATTGATGTTTTATGTCTTGTATTTGTCACATGATATTAGTCAACAGTTAGGGATGGAGAGAAAGTTTACATGTGAACTTTTATTGAAAATCAATAAAATTCGTCATAGATTTACTTAAAATTCAATCTTGATTGAACATTGAGAAAATGCAGTTGATCCGAAAAATGTTTTGACGTGATTTGCGTGCTATACATATTTTTTGAACAATCTGGTCACACATGAATACTCTTGCCAAGGCATTTTATATGAAGATTAATAAAAGGTCATTTAAAAAATTAACATAAGGTGATAATTGTAAATGAAGGAGAGAATATGGAAACAGTCGGAAAGGTTAGGAAATCATCGTGTTACCCTACGCCATTCAATGGCTTAAAAAGAATCAGGGTAAATTCGAGGTTATAACACATTGTTTGTGTACACATAACGGTGTGGGGGGAGGTTAATTTACAAAGACAGCCTTCAAAATAATGTTTAGAAACATTCAAGGACGAATTCTGAGGTTAACAGAAGATTTCACATGATAGATCTATGTTAGACCACCACTATAAAAACCGGGAAGCACTGAAAGATGGGAGTAGTTGACGGTGCGGAGGCATGACAGGACTCAAACCCAGCACATTGTGAGCGAACGCCTAACCCCTGGAACACTGTACCTACATCCAAAGGTGTTCATGTCTAACTTGGAAGCGTTTGCCGAGCAAAATTTCTTCCTTAATGAGACAGTATATTTAATTTGATATTCTTCTAATAGTGGTGAACAGTTTAATTTCAATAATAATTTAGTACATGTTTTGTTTTTATACAAAACTCCACATTGTTAGATGTAGGTATGTTTGTGAAATTTAATCTTTCTTTTTTGAACTCTTATTTCCGCCATATTTTCTACCCATTCAATAATCAATCTAATTTAGTACGTGCCTGAAACTTTATCTCATTATGGATTTTTTTCATTTGACTCGTAAATTTATTTGTCTACTGACATTTTGCATTACGGGGTTGTGAAGATTGTTTAGTTACACACATTTTGAAACCATGAATCGATCAATGTGTTAGACCACCATTAGAAACTTGGAAGTACTGACCGACGGCCGTTTTGTCTTGGTATGGGGGGATTCATCAGCAGTGCGCATCCACAACTTATGCACCCTGCAGGATTCGAACCCAGGGCCTTCAGTCATGCGCGTGAACGCCTAACCTCTTACATTTTTTATCTACCACTGAATATAGATTTTATATAGTTAATAACGGTGAATGATATTCTACGCCTCTAATCTTGTATTGACTGACATTCTTTAATAGACTAATGATATCTAATTCAAATCTTTCGCTTCATCGTTGTGATCCCATTGGTGTAAAGTTATGTAATCGATTTTGTAGTAATCACTGACTGATAAGTTTGACTTGATTGGTTCCCTTGCTTGCGCTAATTAAGATACAACTTGCTGTCGATGAACCGAACACAAACCAATGTGACATAATAACAGGACAACTTATCTATTCTCTGCGGCCTAACCCAGTTGTTAATTAGATCAAAAATTCCAAGGTCAACAGAAAGATTATTTAATCTGCAAACAGCGAATGAATTCACTAGTAATCAGTATAAATGTAATTTTATACAATACACTAAGCGTCCTTGGAAGAGTTACACAATGATAGAGAGAAGAAGAACTAATGAGCATTAAGATCCTGCCAAGTAGAAAACACAAACTGAAGGTGATAAGCTGTGCTTTCGACAGGAAATTGAGACATTCAAATTTTTTAAAAATAAATTAAAACGGTTCAGAGGTTTTTACAATCGATTTCTGGAGATCTAGCATCCGCAACATTTGGTTTAATATCCCCCTGTATTACTACTCATGCTTGTTAGAGTGAAGTCTAATGACGATCTAATGACAAACGATATCGTTCACTTATATCTGTGTTTTTTTTCTGACTAACGTTAGTTTCTTTTATTGAAAACAATGAATCGATCAATGATGAGTCCCATATAAGGACGAAACAGCTGTCTCTCATTGCTTCCAGGTTTCTAATGGTACTCTTAGATTGATCAATTCATAAGTTCAATAAAGTAAACTCAACAATCTTCACAACTCCATGATATAACGTGTATTTAGCGCGTAAATTTTCTACGAGATACGATCGCTAACAGCATTCATTACCCAGGCCTACTTCGTTATTCAGATTTAAGGGATTGGCAATAACCACAGAATCGTTCCATGCGGAGTTATTTGTCGTCAGTAATGTAATATAATGTACACTTTAGAAAAAAAATCATGAAAATGTTAAAAAAATTATTTGACATTCAAATAAATTAATTTTTTAATAAATTATTTACTTATTTCATTGTTGTAGCTGTACCATGTGATGTTGGAGAAAGTTTCTTATATGAACGTTATTGCTGTAAAACTGCATCCAAACAAGATGATTGTTGCAAAAAAGTTCGGTAAGTATTAATTATGTGCTGTCTATTATATACGTTTATTGATTTTTCAACTTACTTTGATTACGTAATACATGTAAGAGAAGCTAGTTTTTACAGTGTGACCTTCAGTCGGTTCAATCAGTTCCAATGTAGAACTGCGTACGTTTACGTACCTACATCAGTTCAAGTAGTTGGCATATCACATTAGCACCACACTAGAGAGATTGAATTGTCCGTTCAGAGCCAATAGTAATAGAGGTTGTTAACAGTATTAGCAGTAAAGGATAGAAGATATGAATGGCGAGGCGACAATAACGAAGTCATGAACAATTCTGAAGGAAGATAGATGACCGGTGTATCTGCAAAGCCACTGCAAAGTCTGTAACCAGACGGTTACGATTATCTAGTGGACTCCAACCAGGTAGTCTAAAACTACTAACACGACTCAGTCCAGTTGTTTATGACTTCATGGACTGGTGAAATGTTTTGTTTGGCCGTCTCTAGTTATCTTTCGGCTTAATCTAACACAAGAGAGCATCACTCAATGCAGTCGGCGATTGGTTGGGCATACTTAGCATGTGTTTTGACCACATTAGCTAACGAAGACCAGTGGATTCACAATCCACACTTAGTACTCTTTTTAACCACAGAACTGTTTACTTGATATCCCAGGATATATGATCAACACTTAGAGAGACAGCTATGATTGAATAATCGCCGAAGGTCTCCGGGTTCAAATCCTACGAGATGCAGGAGTTGTGGATGCGCCCTGCTGATAAGTCCCATAGCAGGACGAAACAGCCGTCTTTCAGTACTTCCAACTATCTAATGGTAGTTTATAACAATGATTGATTGATGATTTCAAATGTGTTAAAACATACGTCACATTGTTCATGTGGAAATCTTTCCTTGCTATTTTTTTTCCTAATTTCAAAATGTGTCACTCACACATGAATTGGATTTATTCAAATTTTTCAATCAATCATAGTAGAATAAGTAAAGTAGTAATCAGAATAATTCCCGTTGTTCTTCATTCATTCCTATTAAGTATGATAGACCTTTTATGTGTTAGGGAGATATAATCTTATTTGAAAAAAAAAATTGATCAGTGGAATTTTGAAGTTGTATATGCTGCAGTATTATGGTGTATGTGCTAATTTACTTCATATATCCTGTGACAACCAAGTAAGCAATGCTGTTGTTAGGAAACGGCTTCTAGGTAAAGATGGCAGATCAGTTAATGAAGTATTGAAACTTTATCAGTTGAGATGGTGGGGACATGTGCTACATGTGCCTAACCACCGACTGCCTCGTCGAGCTATATTTTGTGGGGTAGGAATGAGGTTGGACGAAATCTAGGGGTGGCCAAACCAAAACATGGCGAAAATTCATGCACTGATAAGTGGACTGAGCCATTGTAACAGGTGTAGACTACCTGGTTTGGATCCCCGAGACATTTACTTACTTACTTACTTACTTACGCCTGTTACCCCCGATGGAGCATAGGCAGCCCGCCAGTTTTCTCCAACCAACTCTTTCCTGGGCTTCCCTCTCCCCTAGACATTAGTAATCGATGATTAGCGACTGTGAATGACATGGCTCAAAATCGTTTACAATGGCGCAGATGCATTTATTCTTTGTGTTCTCTCTCTATTCCTAATCTTCTGAATTCCTCATCATCTCTACCTTTCTCTTTAGAAATTTATCTTATTGAATTATACTTCTTGAATAATATCTTCGAACCTCAATCTTTTCCATTACCACTGATACTTCTACTACCCATACTACTATGGGATTCCGGAATTGACAATTCGATCTCTCTCTGTGTGCTAATATGGTATGACAGTTTGAACTAATATACTTAAGTAGTAAGTTCTATGTTGCATTTGAGTGAGAGTGTACTACTGATATGGACCGATTTAAATAGTATATAGCAGTAATTAGTAATAGAATTCTTAATGGTAATAAATAAAAAAACAAAGAGATCATAACAGACAGAAAAACATAGAGCACAATCACAGTAATAACAAGAATGAAAACAATGATAGAGTTTCTAATGGACAACTTTCAAAGAAGATAATGTATTCACATTATCGATTAGTATGCTTTTTATTCCACTAGTATCGCTGACTCATAAACTGACTTGTTCGGAATGATAATTGCATATCAGTCAGTCAGTTACAACGTAGAACTTCATGCATAAGTACATCAGTTCAAGTTGTCATACCACATTAGCACACAGAGACGCAACCGTCAGTTCAGATCATATAGTGGTAGAGATAGTAGAAGTATTACTGGTAATGGAGAAGATTAGGTAGCGAAGATATGATTCAACAAGTATACTTCAGTGAGATAAATTTAGGAAGAGAAAGATAGAGATGATGAGGAATTCAGAAGATTAGTAGAATTTAAGAGAACACAACGAGTGGATGCAGCTGTACCATTGCAAACGATTTTGAGCCATATCGTTCAAGGTCTCTAACCACTGGTGACTTTCGTCTCGCGGACCTCAACCAGGTAGTCTGGATAGTTTCATATAGGCACATAAATTATTATTATTTATTTACGGGATAGTAAGGTCTGATGAAAATCTAACTCAAAAACAATACACTGTTCGTATATATCTTCTTTGTTTTAATTCAAAATACAAAAACAATACTCCCTAAAAGCAACTGATGACCATATCTTAGCAGAGGACTCCTTATCCATGCGCATGAACGATCCTGTGAGCAGGAATCGAACCACGGACCTATAGTCTCGTGTGCGAACACCGAACCACTTGATCACTGATTCGGCGTCCCATTTGCATGATTGCGGTTGTGCACCGATAAGAAGTCCCAAACTAGGAAGAAACAGCTATCCAATTCTTCCACGTTTATGATCTAAATGAAACTTAACAAATCTTATACTACTGATAACAAATTTGTAGAAGATAAAACTAGGCAATCAATCCAATCGCTTGACTTATTGACAATTCAAATCAGCTATAAATGTATACAAGTCAAACACAATAACCCATGCCAACACTCTATGTAGTGAGTGAGAAAAATGCATTTGCCAAGATTTGAATAATAGATGCAGCTTATGTGTTTGTGTTTGTATATATGTCTGTGAAATGACGTAGTTAAGGAAAATATGAATAGAAAACAAGGTCAGATGATTAATTCACTCTCCTACATTATTAATAATAATAATAATAATCGATCATCTATTTTCGGAATGACAACATTCTATGTTAATTAGTTGAGACAATTCATAGTTTGCCTCACATTGATTGATATGCGACCGATGAATGAAAATGTCCATTTTGTGTTAGAAAATATTATGCAGATGGTAGTTTTATTTTGATTTGAAATCATGAATGAATCATTGTTAGGCCGCAACCATTAGAAACCTGAAAGCACTGAAAGACGGCCCTTTCGTAGTACGCATCCACACTTAACGTATGGACCACTGAACCAGCATCCAACTGTATTAATGTCTAACTCCGGTGAGTCTAGGGATTTTCTGCAACCTCACCCACTTTTCTTCTGAAGTTATTGCCTACACACGACAGGGTTGAACTCCACTAGTCAAGTCTTCGCACTAGGACTTCTAGAACCCCATGAAGCCAGTTACTAGTGAGCTCATTAGCGAAGGTCCTGAGTTTGGATTCTGCGAGTAGGTGTCATGGATGTCGACTGCTGATGAATCGCATACTGCCAGGGATGTCCACTTTACCCATTTTCGTTTAATGTTGTCATAGACATGCTGTCAGATGTAACCTTATCCTGGTCTGAATTTTCAGGAGTCGAATTTCTACCAGGAAAATCGATTACTGATCTAGAATATGCCGATGACATAGTTCTATTTGGTGAAGACGCTGACGAAATGCAAAGTCTTCTGACCAACCTAAGCAACAATGCAAGCATGTTCGGGATGCAGTTCTCACCCTCGAAATGTAAAATGTTGCTTCAAGATTGGGTTTCATCGGCACCTGAACTAGTGATAGGGAGTGAAGTAGTCGAACGTGTAGACCGCTTCACGTATCCGGGGAGTCTTATCAGTGTTGATGGCCTGGTGACTGACAAAATCTCAGCTCGGATACAGAATGCTCGATTGGCTTTTCCCAACTTACGCCGTTTATAGCGTAGGCGTGATATCCGTTCACTAACCAAAGGACGAGTGTACCGTGAAGCAATTCGCTCTGTCCTACTATATGGATGCGAAACATGGCCGTTAAGAGTAGAGGACATTCGTAGCTTACTAGTATTCGATCATAGGTGTCTCCGATGTGTTGCTCATGTATCCTCGGACAACCGTGTGAACAACGCTGTCGTTAGGAAACGAGTAATAGATAAGGATGGAAAATCAATAGATGAAGTGGTGAAGCTTCATCAGTTGAGGTGGTTGGCACATGTGTTGCGTATGCCTAACCACCTAATGCCTCGACGAGCTATGTTTTGTGGTGTAGGAGTAGGTTGGAAGAAAGTAAGGGGTGGCCAAACCAAAACATGGCACAAATCCATGAAGTCACTGACAAGTGGACTGAGTCATGTTGGTAGATGTAGGCTATCTGGTTGCGGTCCGCGAGATGAAAGTCACCAATGGTTAGAGACCTTGAACGACATGGCTCATAATCGTTTGCAATGGCTCAGGTGTGCATCCACTCTTTGTGTTCTCTCTAATTCTAACCATCTGAATTCCTCATCATCTCTATCTTTCTCCTCCTAAATTCATCTTACTGAATTATACTTCTTGAATCATATCTTCGCTCTCTAATCTTCTCCATTACTGCTAATACTTTATCTCTATTACTATGTGATTTGAACTGACAGTTGCGTCTCTGTGTGCTGATGTGGTATGCCAACCTGAACTGATGTACTTACGTATGGAGTTCTGCGTATCTATCTATCTATCTATACCAAGACGAAACGGCCATCTTTCAGTGCTTCCAGATTCCTCTAATGGTTCCGGACTAATAATGATTCATTCATAATTTCTAGGTAAAATATTCGCATTACTAATTAAGATAGAAGAAAATAAATAAATGAATCGCTAAATATTCAATAACAGAAAAAATGAATTTTCAGAAATGAAACAACAACAGAAGTTCATGAATATCTTATCTCTTGTTATTCACATTCATCAATACTTACAGTAATATGGTGGTTGGTATATGTTATAGATGAAAGCAAGATTTCTTATCATATTGTCTAGAGATTATGATGAAAAGGTCACACACAATACCTTAAAAACAAAATTCAACCAAGTTTTTTTTAAAGTAGAAGATCATTTCATCCGAGGTTTTCTTTTTGTTAAAATGAAACTAATTAGTTGTGATTAGAAGCCTGGAATGGTCAATTTCAATCCATTTCGATAGTAGTAAAGATAGTAGAAGTATTAGTTAGCAATAATCGGAGGGATTAAGGTCAGAAAATATTATTCAAGAAGTAGAATCTAGTGAAATAAACTTAAAGAAGAAAAAGGGATAAAGGTGATGAGGAATTCAGAAGGTTAGGATTTCAAAGAGAACACATGAAGAATGGATGCATCTGTGGTGACATTGCAAACGATTTTGAGTCATGTCATTCAAGGTCTCTAATAACCATCGATTATTATCATCTCGCTGAACCTGACAAGATAGTCTACACCCGACAACATGGCTCAGCCTACTTGTCAGTGAGTGACTTCCGGGATTTGTACCGTGTTTAAGTTTTGCCGCCCCTAGATTTCTTCCAACCTACTCTTATATCACAAAGCATAGCTCCATCATCAGTGTGTACCAAGATCCTGCAAATAGAAATCGAACCCAGAACCTTCACTGTCGTGAGCGAACGCTTAACCTCGAGACCATTGGGTTGGAATCCATTGCCACGAATGTTTAACTTACATTAATCCATGATCTTTCGCATGCGGCGGATAACAGTCTACTCACACACTACACGGATTGAACTTCATTTGTCTAGTACTGTCAGGATTTTAATTATGGTCTCTAGTCTAGATCAATTCGTATCCAGAAAATAATCCAACTTCCACAACAAGTCATTTTAATTTGGCAACCATGTAATTTTCAGGCAGAGTTTTGTAGGTTTGTGTTTTTATACATTTGAAATCATTGTTGTTATTAACCTCCATTAGAAGAAACATTGAAGCACTGAAAGACGGCCGTTTCGTCCTGGTATGGGACTCATCAGTGGCATTGCGCATCCACGACTCCTGCTCCTCGCAGGATCCGAAACCGGGGATCCTCGGTATTGTGCGCGAACGCCTAATCATCGGACCACTGGGCCGTCAACCAACGGTGTTAATGTCTAACTCTGATTGATCTACTCATTTTGCGCGACCTCACCCACTTGTCTTTGGTAGTTACTGCCTACACTCCAGTGGTCACGTCTTCCCAACTAGAACTCCGAGAATCGCCTTATGAAGCTAGTCACCACTAGTGAGCCGTCCAGTACTTCCAGGTTTCTCAATGGTGGTCTAACAATGATTGAATGATGATGATGTTTTAGTTCTTAGTCATTCAATATTAGTTTAAACACTTTCTTTCTCACTTTTGAAAAAACAAACAAAACTTTAATTCCTTTTATTTCTGTTTGTTTTTCACAAACAACAGTTGGAAACCAATCACTATCACTGTATGCGTTGTTATCGCTGTGTTAATTGTAATCTGGATATTGAGTTGTATATTTGGATTATGTAAATGTCTTGTCAATTGCCTATGTTGTTGTTTCAAGCGGGAATAATCAAAAGCGCGCCAATTATTTTGTTTTATTAATATTACTTTTTTTTCGAATGACATTGTAATATTTTTTCACAGAAATTTGTACGTAACAGATACTTACTACTTATTATGTTCTATAAATAGTATAATTGTGTAAATATATTTCAGAAAAAATAAAATAAGCCCCAAATGGCAAAGTTCTTTTTAAAATTTCTTAAATGTTTGAATGGTAGTAGTAGTAGTAGACAGTGGAGTGTAAGACAACTGTTGTTTTCTGATCTTTTGTGAAGCTTTTCTTTTCAATAGTAATGACCATGGTTGTATGTACAATACGTTTTAAACTGCTTTGTACGTTCTATGTGTTAGCCAGTCAGTCAGTCAAACAACATAGAACTTCGTACGTACGTACAACAGTTCAAATTGCCATACCACATTAGCACAGAGATGCAATTGTCAAACCATTTAAAATCTGTTCTGGGAGTTAGAAGGTTTTCATTTAGAAGAGTTATGACGTCTCATCATGAAAGCCGGGTTCTTTTGGAAGTCACAAGGTCGATGCCCCTTCTGACAACCAGAGCCCTTCCACCGTATGCACAACCGGGTAGTGACATCCAACCTCATACTCATAAAAGCACACGAAACCAAATCGGTCACAATCAAATCCTTACTACACCTCCTAATAACTCTCTTATCTCTTTGACCAACTCTCCCTTCGATCGTTTGTCACCTCGCATCGCTGAAGCAAACGCTCCAAGCTCACGAAACGTTCTGTGTGTAGGATACCATCATTTATGAATTGTAAGAGTATATAAACAGACTTCTATTTTTCGACTATACAGCTCTATCTATTACCTTCGGAAACAGGCAAGGCGTTTAGATTTTTTTACACCGAGTATTCCAATAAAGCATTTGACCATTATTCTTTAACTACGTGTACTTATCAAATCTACTCTTCAACTGGTGGTTAGGTTTTTGTCACTCACATAAATAATCCAGAACTTTAACAAATTTAAGGTTACAGATATAAATGCGCACTGATTTTTTGTAACCAAAACTACAGTACGCACTCCGTATTCTGTCACAATTACTTCTTATCAGATTGTATTCGAATGATGCGTACACCATAAGAACGCAAGGATCAATTGAAAAGTCAGGATTTAGTGCAGCGGAGGATAAATTTTTGTCGAGAAATGCTTCCTTACCAGAGTATGAAACACAACAATTAGTCAGATAGTTACAATGCAGACCTTCGTACGAACGTATATCAGTTTAAGTTGTAATACCACATTAGCATAGAGAGATGGAATTGTCAATTCTAATCCCATAGTGGTAGCAACAGTATTAGCGGTAATCGAAGCTATGATTCGAGAAGGGGGTAAAAAGAATTTTGAAGCTTACTGTTTGAGTGAAGTTAAATAATCGTTTTATGTGGTGTGTCATTGTAAACGATTTAGACCATCCCATTCAAAGTCTGCAAATACCGGTTACTATTGTCTCGTAGACGCCATCCAGTTAGTCTACACTTATTTGCATGTTTCAATTCAATTATTACTGTTAGTGGGACATAGATGGAATTAAAGCATGACTAAGTTGCTACGCGCTGATTGGTTAATTTCCTATCCAATCAGCGCCTGATCGATTTTTGGAGAACAGGGTAGAAAACTCTCGTGTTGTTAGCTGCACGCTGATTGGCTAAATCTAATCCAGTCGATCACGTGAATTACTATCCAGAAGCTTCTCATGTAAATACTATAAAGAAACTAACGTTGTATCTATTTGGCCTTTGCCTTCGTATTTCCATTTAACCTTGCTATTTGGAACATAATCTTTTTCCTGTTCCAACGCCTTCTTGATCCGTTGGAACTTGTCCAGTGTATTATGGTCAGAGAATACTAACCAATCGGGTTTAGCTGAGAATTATTTAAGCAAGCCGTTACAACAGTGGCGACGAATAAAAAGGAAAAAAAATTCAAGATGCCTATTTCAGATGATCAGCATAACCGAATACTACAACAACCAACAGCAAGCACAATTAGATGCACAAATGAGGTTGTTGGAGACTCTAACTCAACATCCAGTGTTCAAGTCCATATGCTATTCTAAATACCCGACCGTAGCTGCTACCTTGACGTGGTGGACGGTCTTGCCTATCGTGATGACCCAACCGAGCTATATTGGCTGGAACATATGTTCCTCAAGGTTCTACCATGCCAGACAGGTCGATCGGAGAACGATGAGACTAAAAGCAGCTACTCCAGGTCTGAGGACGAAGTCGTACTGCTGAATGCAGAGGGATGTGACAGCACTAAGGTGTTTCCCTCGGACAACCAGCATCTGCAGCGATGCTGCCTTCTCACAAGGAAGGAAGGATTAGAAAAGGTCGGCCCTAAAAATGTCACACCTCCCCTAACTCACGGATTTCCGTCTCCTTGGGTAAGGGTGCCCACTAAGGGCCTTTAAGAACGGAGCTAATCCTCAAAATACCTTTCATAAAAAGGCCGTGCGTGACCGGCCTCAAGCAGTTGTCCCATGGACTCTGCAGTCACACTCACAGGTCTCCAAGACCAACACTAATCTATCTTCCTTTTCAGGTCCCTCAAGAAACAACCTTCCACGGTGTTGGCAGCCGGGAAGTGACAACCGCCCTCATAACCGTAACAGCACGAGAGACCAATCTGACTGACTATTCTAAATACTACTTGTGAAGCAGTGCAGTGGTAAACAGCATTCCAGAATTCATCTATAATCCTGAATGTGGAAATACTTTTCTAACGTGGTTTAAACGTTGGGAAGATACATACATTTACAATTGAATTCGGTAAAAACAACCACCAAACTGACCACTAACTAATTAATAGCAAAACTCTACTCATCATGATTCAGTTTTTTATTGGACAAAAATTTTACAAAAAAAAAATGAAGAATGTCATAAGTTCTCATTTCAGCGGAAAGAAGAAAGGAAGGCAGAAAGGCAAGAAGAAAACCGCACGTCGGGTACAAACAAATGCAAAACTTGAATGAAATGAAAGATGAAATAAAATTAAATTAATCCTTTAAATATATTTGTTAATTTAGTTTTAGATTTTTTTCTTGTTTCTTTGAATAATTTATCATTCAAAAAAGAAATAACATTTTCATACGATGGTAATTTTTGCACTTGTCCAAAACCAACTAATGTTGGTTTGGCTTGATGAAACATACCATGTAGTAGTTCATGTAGATCACTTTCAGTTACTTTATCTAATTAGACAAATAAATAAATAAGCATTCATAGTAATAATTAATTGAAAAATAAGAAAAAAATATTACATGAAATAATGGATATTTTGGAATTTATTTTCTTGTTTTTGGGTGATATGATCCTGACCGTAGCGGCTATCTTCTACATTGATTGACATGGTGGTTGGGCTTGCCTATCTTGATGACCTAACTGAGCTCTATATTGACTGGAACATATGTTCCTGTAGGTTCGACCATGTCAAGCAGGTCGACTGGAGAACAGTGAGACTAAAAGCAGCAACTCAAGTTTTGAGGGTGAAGTCGTACTGCTCACCGTAGAAGGGTGTTGTGATAGCAGTAAGTTGTTTCCCTCGGGACAACTAGCATCTGCAGCGATGCTGCCTTCTCACGAGGAAGGAAGGATTAGAAAAGGTCGACCCTAAAAAATGTCACACCTCACCTTACCTCACAGATTTCCATATCTCTGGTGGTAAGGCCATTTGGAGAGAGGAACTAACACTTTGCATACTTTCTTAAAAAATGGCCGTGCGTGACCGGCTACAAGCACCTCTTTCTTGAGAAGTCGAGCTGCTAGGTTATTAGGACCAACACTAACCCAAGTACCTTTTTAGGTCTCTCGAAAAGTGTGGGCAGCCGGGAATGTGACATTCGCCCTCATATCTCTAACAGTAGACGGACAACTTAGTCACAACCAAATCCTTCCTACAACTCTTAATAATTCTCTTGTCTCCAAGACTAGTAATCGATCATACAATATCATTGGACAAAATACCCTACCAATAAGACGTTATACACAACAAACTAGATCACGTTATATCAGATACATAATTCACGACCAAAGTAAAGAACAGAGTAGAGATCGATAAAACGGGAGAAAATCACTTGTTTAACAGTCAGTAGACTAAGTGCATGTTCATTTACATTCAATGACCAGTAGCGTTTTACTTAAGTCTCAACTGATTCTACAAATATATAAAAAATGCATCAACCAGTAAGCTAACAATTTAACGTAACTAGTGGAATTCAACCTTGTCGGGTGTAGGCCTCAACTACCAAAGATAAATGGATGAGGTCGCGTAAAATCCCTAGATTGATCAGAGTTAAATACTAACACCGTTGGATACCGGGCCCAGTGGTCCAGAGGTTAGGCGTTCATACTGAAGACCGAAGGTCCTTAGTTTGAGTCCTGTGAGTGGCAGGAGTCACGGATACACACTGATGATAAGTAGTCCCATACCAGGACGAAACGGCCGTCTTTCAGTGCTTCAACGTTTCTAATGGTAATTTAACAATGATTGATTCATAATTTTAGTAATAAAGAAAAACTAGTTACTCATGAGTAGTAAAACAATTATAATAAAACAATTCATAATACTTTCAGGTTGTTGAAACACAAAGATGTAACGTCATGTTTAAATCAATAATAAATTATATAACGGTTAAAAAACACCACATTCTCTTCCCCTGATGAACTTAGGATTTTGCATATTTCTTATGGCTTCAAAGTACATGATTTGACTGAATTTTTTTGACTCGAATAGCTGATTGATTTTGAAAGGGTAAAAGATGTTTTTTTCAACATTCTACGACAAAGATTCTAACGATTTCAAAGCTGATACAACATCGAAATGACTTTCATGGATAATGAAAACACTGAAACAGTAGAGCGTCTAGTGTGACCTGAGTTTTGTTGTAAAATCGTCCAACTACACGATTTTTCGAGATGGTTGGAGAAAATTTTTTACCTCAGGTGGATGGAGTTTCGTTCTCTGAGCTGAGAGTGTTTTGGTTGTGGAGCTTTCATTGTTCTCTTTCTGAACAGCATCATCAGCACAAACTTCAGATAGGAGAATTGAAGTATTTGAATTTCTTCACGTATGACCGATAGCTTGTTCAGTTAATCTCGATCTTGATTGGTTGTTATCAGCCTTAGACCTATCGCTGTCTGCTCCTTCATTTTGATTGTATTGTCCCTTTGATCTACTCCTTGATCCCATGTTTGCCTATGATTTTTCCGATTGATTGATAAATTGGGTCAACGTCGATGTGTTTGCTGATTGACTTGAGTGCCAATCTCCTAAAAACTCTCTAGTGTTCTTTGTGCTCCCCCTATCATGTATTTCCACATTTTTGCAATCGAACGTATGTCCATGTCATGATATAAGGGAAGAAATGTCGCGGCGTTTGACTGCCAACTGATGTTCACGCAAACGAAAGGTCGATAAGAGACAATTAAGGTCGAAGTCAAGCTACGAGAACAAGCTACGAGGAATACGTGACGAAATTCAAATACTTCAATTATTCTATCTGAAGTTGGTGCTGATGATGTTGGTGTTCAGGAGGAGAACAATGAAAGCTCCAAAAACAAAAAAACACTCAGATCAGAGAACGAAACTCCAGCACACGATTTTTTCAAAAAAAGTGTTTGAGGCTGAAAGCTTTTGGTACAAACATGTAAAATAATGACGTGGCAAATCGAAGAATCTAACTTTGGCGAACTGAATAGGAAAATTTTGAAAAGAAAGCGATTGGTTGTAGTAAAAAGAGGTGCATACTTATACATATATATCATAGTCTAATGAGAAGACAATTGATACTGTGTTGAGGATGTTAGATCCCCAGCACTCGCTTGATAAATGCCACATCTTGGATTTCACGTTTGCCAGCATGGGCCGATCAGTTGAACTTGAGATCACACATTCCCCACCAGGAAAATCCATGGCTGTGATTGGCTGTTGTGTATTTTTGTGCGCTATTTTCGTCCCAAGGACGTTTCTATGATGTATAAATAAACGAGAGTTGTGTGCTTGATTGTATTGTGTGATTGCTGACTGGGTCTTTGTAGAATATGCTTTCTAAGCTTACCAAGCCTTCTGTTTTACAGCTTGGGATTCAAAGGTAGCCTATCTGGACACTGGTTCATTGTCTCGTTCTCGTTTATCGACTAAGGTGAACTCGTAATAGCTTCAAGTGTACTTAGTGATGAACATAACACACTAAGCTTCAGACGAACTCAACACATCAATACTACTACTAATCGATCAATGATGATGAAAGAAAATGCACTACACTATCGAACAATTTCAAAACAAAAACAGACAAAAAAACAGACACCTATTCACTACTCACCTATTTGATCAACCCAATAATCTGGTTCATGTTTTATATTCGATGTAAGCACTTGACGTGCAATATCTTCAAAGCTAACAGCACGAGTTTCTAAATTCATTAGAAGCATTGATTTCAATTGGTGTTTAGCTCGTGATAATTCTTCATGTGATATTGGCGATAACATCGTATGATATAATTCATTCAATAGAGTATAAACTAAACGATCTAAATAAGATGGAAATGAACTAGCAAGAATAGTGAATAATCCTGTATCAGCATAGGCATGATTTTCAGCTTGTGCTGAATTGACCCAATGATGTCTACAAACGAGAGGGAGAAATAGGGAAAAAAAATAGAACATATGAAGTATTAGAACAACACATATAAGCGAACAATATGATTGTTTTCGATTAGATCGTCATCAGGCTGCTTTACTCTAATATACATGAATATTTATATGAAAATGTCAAAACCAATCAAGGCAATTTGAGTGATAATCACAATGAAATGAAACAGAGATTACGTAACTACATCTAATAGGCAAAAGTTCAAGTGGATAATAGGAAAACAGGTGTACTGATAGTAGTAAGAAAATTTATAAAATATGATAACTAAAGTAGGTCAAAGGTGGATGAATAGACTTCAAATAATCATCGAAAATTATCAAAACCATTACGTAATAAACAAATGTGTAAAAATAAAATAAAATAAAAAAATCAAAAAATAATAAAAATATCTCAATCATTAGTTACGTCATATCCGGCCACGGAAGAGATAGGGGTGTCACGAATTTCTTATGAACACATAAATTAGGGTTGAATGTACGTATTCCTATGGCTTCTGCAATGTGTAGGAGACGGGATCGAACTCTGTTGGGAAATGATGGAGGTATACGATAGATCACCCGAAAAGATCTAGATTTATCTACAATGTGACCACTATCTACCAGGTGTGCTAAGATAGAACTGCGTATTGTTTTTGACTGAGCCTTCGTAAACCATGCTGGGAGATGTTCACTCATTCGTTGGTTAAGTTGCCTGGAAGTACGCCCGATATAGCTATCTCCACAGGAGCAGCTGAATTTGTAAATGCACATAGAGGAGGCCAGCTCAGGTAACTTATCTTTCGTTTGAGTAGACATCGCAGGTCAACTGGAGAAAGTCAATGCAAGTTTTGCAGCGTTGAATGTTCTGTTAATTACTCTTCTTGATCGGTCCTGCAGAGTATCGCAGGCCACATTCATGTATATTAGAGTAAAGCCTGATGACGATCTAATCGAAAACAATATTGTTCGCTTATATGTGTTGTTCTAATTTTCACAATGGGAATCTTTAAAATTCTTAAATCATATGAAGTATGTAATGATATTGGAGTGAATTATGTAATTCAAATAACCGCCTATATGATCGATTGCGTAATTCAAATTGATAGAAAATAGGAATTCTTTGTGAAGAACTGTTACGTGAGGCGAATGTACACACATAACTTGGGTGTATTACCCATTAATTTGACTAACAGTCAGTCAGTTAATCAGCTACAAGGCAGAACTTTGTATGTATGTGTTACGCCTGCACGTAAACACGTCAACTTGATATACTTGAACTATTACGAGTTTACCTTAGTCGGAAAACGACAGCGAGGATCGAGGATCCGGCGACACGACATGCTGCTACTCAAATCCGATTATCCCAACCCCCATATTTAGTAAAAATAAGAAAACTTGATACGAAGTAGAACCTGTATTCTACAAGCATCCCAGAAAGTACAAGGTCCGAGTCTAGAAGAGAATCAGGATCCCGGAAGAGGGATTCGGGACCTGGTCCTGGTCCTGGTCATAAACCGTTACAGATAATGCGTATTTATACATTTTGGTCGAATAGGAAACAGCATCGAAGTCTGTGACATAGACAGTTAAGACGAGCAACAGGAAGCAACATTTGAAGTGACATTGATAGTCAGGACAATCAATTAGAAACAACATTGGAGCACGTGACATTGATATCTAGGACGACCATAAAATTTACCAGTGGGAATTAACCAATAGGAATTGACCAATATTCTCTTAGGATATTGGATGAATATCCTAACAGTATGTACATTAGTTCAAGTTGCCATACCACATTAGCACACAGAGATCGAATTGTCAAGTTGTTATAATTCTCTTTATCACAATCTAGCTACTCCTAATGCTGAGTATTCTCGGACACCAATTCACTTGAGACGTTCTGTCAAATAAGAACACAGTTGAACAAGAAAAGAGAATATGTTCCAATAACAAGGTTAGGTCGAAGTAAGAAGTTCAAAACGTTAGTATATCTACATGAGAAGATTCTACAATGTTCCACCAGTATAGACTAGCTCTGATTGGATACGAAAGAGCCAGTCAGCATGCAACAACGCAATCGTGCATGGAACATGCTTTATTCCAATCTATGTCCCGCAAACACAGACCGAATCCCATGATACTAGAGGTAGTAGAAGTATTAGCGGTAATCAAAAAGATTACTGATCGAAGACATCCATCGAGAAGTATATCCCAAAAGAATCAATTGAAAAAAGAGACACAGGGAAAGGCATGTTCATGAGGAATTCAGAAGATTAGAATTTGAAAGAAGACAAAAAATCCATGCATCTGCGCCATTGCACACGATTTTGAGTCATGTCGTTCAAAGTCCCTAACCATCAGTTACTCGTGGACATGTAGTCTACACCTACCAACATGGCTTAGTCCATTTGTCAGTGAATTCATGGATTTGTGCCATGTTTTGGTTTAGAATATTCGACCAACATACTGTTGTTTGGAGATGCTAGATCCCCCTATAAATCACTTGGTGAACTTCGTATTTTTACATTTCATTTGAGGGAATTAGAAGTAATCGGAGAGGTTAGAATTAGAAGATATTATTCAAGAAGTATGATTAAATGAGAAAAGTTTAGAGAGTCAAAACTAGAGGGGTTGAGGAATCCAGAAGATTAGGATTTGAGAGAACACAAAGAATAAATGCACCGGCGCCATTGCGAACACATAAGTTGACTGTTTGTTATTTGTTCTCTTGGGGGTGCGTGTGCAATTGATACCTATTTCCCACTGACTCTCATTAGCTGGGCTCGGGCACAGAGGAATCGCTTAGCTTCGTTTTGTTATTATGTTACTGATTATCTGTTTCGTTCGCCGGTGACCGAAAGTCGGAAAGAAGGTTTGCTCTCCCTCTCGAAATACTCTCTCATATGGTCATGTGTATATAGCCACTGCCAGAGAAGTTATACTCACTGGTGGGAGTGTTGTTTAGTGAAAAGTGAGAGGACAAAAAAAAGGTATCTGGCTCTTTAATAGGCTGTCTGTAGCTACAGAGGACCTACTTAAGGGAGTTGGAAAACCCTCATGGCGCACATGAGCTCCACCATCCTGATGGAACGAATGGCGGATTACCCTATTGTTCGTCACCGACTGCCGTGGAACTGCATCTCTTAACGTTGCTCCACTGCTCTGTGAACTGGACCTGTAGGTCAAACACACAGGGGGTGGCCTCCTATGAACATAACTACCTACTGCTTCTGATTGAGCATCCGCGCAGTATCGCCACTCATTCACCAATTCATGTTTGTGTTTAAATAAAGCAAAAAATAAAAAATAAAATCAAAACATTTCAATATTCTCACATACATACATACATATATATAACAACATGAAACTTACTGATTTAAAATATTTACATACAGTCTTGTGTACATACCCTTACCAGGTCCACCAGCTGAAAATGATCCACCTCCACCAAGTAATGAATGCAATACACAAGCTGGTACAAATTGTGCATCACTGTAACTGCATGATTTAAAACCAATGCCAATATGAGCATACTCAGGCATTGGAGCATGATATTGTGATAGATCACGTTCTAACTATTTGGATGGATTGATGGATTGATTGAGATGGAAGAAAAATATATGAAGGTGAAACAAATAAACTAATTGTATACTAAAGCTTTAAAAGAAAGATAAATTATCAACTGGATAAACTAATTAACTACCTTATGATGCATGGATTATCAAAGTTATACGCCTGGGATGCATATGTACTAAATAAAAACTAATCGATTGTGTAGCCCCTGACTATCAACAGATCGATTCAGGTAACCAGTACATCACACATACCAGTGTCTGTCTGAACTCAAAAGTAAATGTAACCAGATAGTGTTTGAAAGTGAACGTTGCTAAGTTCGAGTCCCGGAGTAGTAAACAACCAACTCCGGGATACAAGTCAGTCAGTAAGTCAGATTTGATTCCGAACAATTTGGTCTCGTGTGCTGTTACAGGTATGAGGGCGGTTGTCACTTCCCGGCTGCCCCCACCGTGGAAAGTTGTTTCTTGAGGAACCTGAAAAGGAAGATAGATTAGTGTTGGTCTTGGAGACCTGGGAGCGTGACCACAGAGCCCAAGAGACAACTGCTTAAGGCCGGTCACGCGCGGCCTTTTTTATAAAGGGTTTTTTGAGTATTAGCTCCGCTCTTGAAAGCCCTTAGTGAGCACCCTTACCGCCGGAGACGGAAATCCGTGAGGTAGGGTGAGGTGTGACATTTTTAGGGTTGACGATTTCCAGCCACTTCCTTCCTTGTGAAAAGGCAGTTTTGCTATAGATGCTGGTTGTCCGAGGGTGTTGTAACGGTAGCTTACGATATTTCCCGGCTAAATCTTATTGCTTAGTATTCTTGACACAAGACACTGGACAAGTAACACAAATCAGAACACGGTTGAACAGGAAGGATTGTATTCCAAAATAGCAAGGAAAGAAGCTGGAGGTGATGGCGAAAGCCAAGGCAAAAAGGCTTGAAAGCGAAGAAGGCTAAGAAGGCAAGAAGGCCAAGATAAATACAATGCTAGTCTATTTATAGCCTTTACATGAGAAAACTTCTGGAACAAAATTCACGTGATCGACTGGACTGGTTTTGACCAATCAGCATGCAGCTAATAAGACGAGAATTTTCTATCCTGTTCTCCAAGCTTCGATCAGGCGCTGATTGGACAGGAAATTAGCTAATCAGCGCGTAGTGACGTAATCATGCTTTAAATCCATCTATGTCCCACCAACAGAGGGAAACACCTTACTGCTGTCACACCCCTCTGCAGTCAGCAGTACGACTTCGCCCTCAAACCTGGAGTAGCTGCTTTTAGTCTCATCGTCCTCCAATAGACCTGTCTGGCATAGTAGAACCTTCAGGAACATATGTTCCAGCCAGTGTAGCTCGGCCGGGTCATCACGATAGGCAAGCCTGACCACTACGTCACGGTAGCAGCTACCGTCGGGCTAGGATACAAGTACATCCAGCTTAACGAGTCTCAAATAGGATTCCACTACTAGCCAGTATCTATCTGTGGTTATAATGCTTGTGACCTAATGACTATATCAAGGCAATTTGCACATGATGTATATTGGCTAGATAAGACTCATCAATGAGAAGGTACAAACTGCCAATCCCTAAACAGCAATACAAGCATGTTCAGGATACGGTTCTCACCCTCGAAATTCAAAATGTTGTTTCAAGATTAGATTGCATTGGCACTTGATTTAGTGGTAGGGAGCAAAGTCGTTGAGCGTGATGACCGCTTCATTTGTCTTGAGAGTCTCATCAGTGTTTATGACCTGGTGACTGACGAAATCTCAGCACAGATACATAAGGCTCGACTGGATTCCGCCAACTTTCGCCAACTATGGCGTAGGCGAGATATCCGTTTGCCAACCAAAGGACGAGTCTGCTGTGCAACAGTTCATCCTGTCCTACTACATGGATGCGAAGCATGGCCGTTAAGAGTAGAGGACATTCGTAGGTTATTAGTTTTTCGATTATAGATGTCTACAAAGCACTGCTCATGTATCCTGGCACAACGGAGTAAGCGATGTTGTCGTTAAGAAACGAGTACTAGGTAAGGATGGCAGATCAATAGATGAAGTATTGAAACTTCATCAGTTTAGACGGTTGGGACATGTGTTACGTATGCCCAACCACCGACTGCCTCGTCGAGCTACGTTTCGCGGTGTAGGAGTAGGTTGAAAGAAAGCTGGGGGCAACCAGACCAAAACATGGCATAAGTCCATGAAGTCACCGACAAGTGGATTCAGCCATGTAAGTAGGTGTAGACTACCACCAAGTTGGGGTACGCGAGACGATAGTAACCGATGGTTAGAAACCTTCAATGACATGACTCATAATCGTTTGCAATGGAGCAGGTGCATCCGCTCTTTGTGTTCTTTCAAATTCTAATCTTCTGAATTTTTCATGACTGATTTTCTTCTCTATTTTTCAAATTGATTCCTTTGGGTTATACTTCTCGATGGATGACTTAGATCACTAATCTTGTTGATTATCGCTAATACTTCTACTACTACTTTTACTACGACAATGCGTTCTGTCTGTGCCAATATGGTGTTACGGCAACATGAACTGATGTACGTACGTACAAATTTCTACGTTATAGCTAATTGACTGAATAAAAACAAATCTGCTCTTAGTGCCAGTTGCTTTTGAACATTGAACGCAAGTAATATCAGTTTTTTACTCTATAAATAATTAATAATAAACAAACATATAATCCCGAATCGATATTATGCCCACACACACACCAAAAAAAAAACAATACTTACCTTATAATAACCACCGGTATATTCTGAAATAGTAGTATCCACAGATCGATCCAAATCATTAGTTGAATTTTCATGTGATACATTAGGCACTGTTGGAATAAAATATTTCTCGACAGATTTCACAAAGGAATCATGTTCAATGCCTACACCAGCTATCACTATGTTTTCTGGTCTATGAGAGTTAGAATATAAAAAATAGTTAGAAAAAAGCATGATACAGTGATGGAATGATTTGTCTAATACATATTGCTTTCACTTAATAATACTACTATCTTTGTGCACTAACCACCGATTTGTTTTCTTCAACCAATTATCGTATCAATTAGAATGATTTTTACATAAAAACAAAAGTTAGAAACACGGGATTCTTGTAGAACCTTCAAGGCTACTACTACCGGTCCCAAGCACGGATAAAACAGGAGGGTTGGGTATGGGGTTGACGATCCTATCCCGTAAAAATCCAACTCGCTAAAAACACTCTAACAAGAAAAAATAATTCAAACCATTCAAACTCTGCTCCGGGAGTTAAAAGCTCTTGAGTTAAAAAAGTTATGATGTCTCATGATGAAAGCGGAGTTCTTTCGGAGTTCACAAGGCTGATGCCTCTTCTAACAACTAGAGCCTTTCCAAGGTGTGGGCAGCCAGAAAGTAACATCCGCCCTTATACACATAAAAGCACATGAGGCAAAATCTAATCCCAGTAGATAGTCGCTTATGCGCTGTCCGATTAAACAACACAATAAGGACTCGGAAAGACAGGTACACTTATCGTCGCTTCTGCAATGTTTAAGTAGGTAGGCTAAGCGAATCAGAACAGAACTGATGTCGTTTTTGCTCCATTCAAATTTTTTTTTAAGAAAAAAGTCATACGTCATACTCTATATTTCATTCCAAGAGATAATGTAATGAGGGGACAGTTCACTAAAGTTTTCAATTGACCCTAGATGCACAAAATAATGATTGTTATGAAAGCCACTAATAAGATGCGATAAGTAAAAAACAATAAAATCAATGAAGTTGCTTTTAGAATAACTTTATTGGTAATAAGGTAGACAGTAATAGGTGATGTTATGTTTTGTAACCTCGACGAATATAATGATACCCGGCCACGGTGTACTGCCACTGTATTCATATTGACTAATATGGTATGTTAAAGGTTTGTGATGGCCAGAGTAGTAGTATACAGGATGGTATATGTATAAACTTCTTAGCTAGAGTCTGGGCGATAATTGAAATCAGTGACGTGAGACATAACATGACTGAAGATTGACCATACTACGGACAGATTCCGTTGAGAAATCAGTCAGTCACTCAGTCAGATGCAACGTAGAACTTCGTACGTAAGTACATCAGTTCATGTCGCCATACCACATCAGCACTGAGACGCCATTGTCAATTCAAATCCAATAGTAGAAGAGGTAGTAAAGGTATTAAGAGTAATCGGGAGGTTAGGATTAGAAGATATTATTCAAGAAGTATGATTTAATGAGAAAAGTTTAGAAAGTCAAAACTAGAGTTGTTGAAGAACTCAGAAGATTAAGATTTGAGAGAACACAAAGAATAAATGCACCGGCGCCATTGCGAACGATTTTTAGCCATGTCATTCAAGGTCTCTAACCAGAGATTATTATCATCTCGCGGACCCCAACCAGGTAGTTGACAATTACCGACATGGCTCAGTCCACTTGTCAGTGACTTCATGGATTTCTTCCATGTTTTGGTTTGGCCGCCCCTAACTTTCTTCCAACCTACTCCTACACTACAAAACAAAGCTCGTCGAGGCAGCCGTTGGGAAATATAAGAAACAAACTCGAATGAAAATAAGAACGTTGGAGCTATAGGAAAAGGTAATTTCTAGAGACAAAGCTTATGGTGGGATTTTATCTTCTGAGCTGGATGTTTCGGTTGTGAAGCTTTGAATGTCCTTCTTCTGAACATCATTATCATCAGCACAAACCTCAGCACTTCTACCTAACGTTTGTGATGATGTTCAGAAGAAGAACAAAGAAAGCTCCACAACCAAAACATCCAGCTCAAAGAATGAAACTCCATCATAATTATCCACTTGAGCTAAAAATTTCCTTTACAATCTCAAAAACAAAAGAACTATATTAAAGGTGTAGGTGTATTAATTTATAATCCAGCGAAAATCAACTTACCGGTATTGAGTGGAAATAAATCGAATGATATCTTCACGGTTAATTTTGCCTAAATTCTCTTTAGGACAATATTTTGGTAAGCCAAGTGTATTATTTTTATAAGCAGTCATATGTAATAATTCATTCATAATTGGCTCTACTGGTGGTGATCTTTCCAATGCTTCAAGTTCAAAAGAAATACTTTTAGCTGCCATTTCAATTTCTTCTTGAGTGATTTTTGCTCTAAGAACTGTTTCAGATAATATGTGCGTAAGTTTATCCATATTTGTGTTGAAACCAGATACGGCGTAAATAATAAAGTCTCTACATATTGAAATTATAACAAGCATAGAATATTTTAGGAAAATTGTTAATGTTAGTAAGATTATCTGATATGTATATGGAAGCATGCATACAACAATAACAAGCACCCTTATATCTAACTACAATCTCGACTTTGAAAATCAAACATGAACTATTACCAAACAAGCTGAACAACGGGTTTTTATTTTTTTTTTCAGCCAATAATGTATAGAAATACTTCAATTTGACGATCCAATAGAAGTAGGTACATATTAACGTGGATTGGAACCTTTGGAATTAGAGCTAGTGAAACTATCCAAATATCGAGGCCAAACGGTTCGAACAAGCAGCCTAATGGGTAAGATATCAGTTCTTTGACCTTCATAGTGATTGTCTCAATTCCTTAATTCTCATACTTATTACTGATGAGTTTTATGCCACTCATGTACTTGGTTTTATACTGGATTGTATTACATGAACAAACCAGTATTTAAGTTAGGTTGTAAATTTCAATCATTAGTTCTATGCATCTGGAAAGCTGGTTGTGGAATAATCGACGTATAATTTCGAGTGGCAGATCATTTGACTTGTTTTAACAAAAAGTTAGTTAACAATATAAGTTTTTAGCCACTAAGCTTTTATCAACATTCATATACATAACGAATCGGTCTTAGAACTTAGCCTGGCATTCTTGCATATTTTCTATGCTCCTTCTCCTCCAACAAATGAGAAAGGACAAAACATATTAACTTTGATTACGATGTTCATTAGTAACACACTTTTAAAGAGTAACACAATGAATTGATAATGTTTTATTTCTAATAATAACAGATGAATAAGTGAGGTAGTAGGAGTACAACAGGTACCGTTTAAGCATGTTAATAAAGAGTTAAATCTTCACTCAAAGGTGGAAGTACAACCAACTAAGTTGCTCATAAGATTTAACAATGAGATTTGAGGTGGAGAGGACCTTGGAATCATTGGAAAACCCTATCGAATAATATACACCCGGATATTTGATCCCCACGCGAAATTGTGATCCATCTGGATTCTCTACTAGAATACACCATGTCAGCGATGTGCATGAATAACGTCAAATGAGATTTATATAACTCATAAATTACTGTGAAGATTACTAAAGACTATTCAGTCTTTATCTTTGTTGATAATCAAGTGGAAAATCGCTTATTTTAATCTATGCATGATGTTTTACGAATTGCAACTATTTTAAATGATTAATCCCTATTGTTGTGCATAGAATGCCTAGAAACGAAAGAGTCAAAGCTAAGTATAGTTATGAAAATTTGCAAACAATCTAATGAAAGAAAAGCTTTTTTTGGACCAATAATTACTGCTCACTCCAAAGTAAAACTAGAAAACAAAAACCATGAGAAATACCTGGCTACTTGACAGTCGAAAATCGAGTTGCAATTTTCCATGGCTTCCTGGACAGAATTTCGATCTGTAAAAAGGTTAGATGACTAAAAATAGAGTATGATGAAAGGACTAACGTGGAATCCTAATTTCTCTAGATAATGAGAAGTCCCCCTGACAAAGTTTCCCTCGTATCGAGGACCAGCCTTAACAATAACTAAAATGGTAAGATGAAAAAAATAAAACAAACCCCCTATAGCGCATTGGCTACCAAGTTTGTTTTGAGAAGCTACACGAAGACCATTACTCAATCGTGTGATCTTGGTTTCCTTATCCTCAGTGAACTGTTTTGTATGATTACTTAACCCTTGGTTGACTACATCTTTTAATGAAACCTTTGTGATATCCAGCTGATTTCTGTGGATACTCGACGAGAAACATCTAACGTAACGTCTCAAACAAGACGCCGAACGCATGCTTTGTCAATAAGAATCACAACTTCAAATTTCCCCTATCATTTCGATGACCTTGAGCAGCAAAATTTTGGCTGTACCACTGTTTTACAAACTTTGACATGAACTGGAAATATGAGTGGTATGAACTGAAATGGTCCCATCAGTTCAATGAGGTGTTGAAGAAGCAGTAGGGCAATTGAGATGTTGCCTTGAGTTTGTAGTGGTTAATAAATTTCCGAAATAAATTGTTCTATATGTCTTCAATATCTATTATGATCACATTTGGTTCACTTGACGTAGGACTATTCCACTCTTAGTTGAAAGCGTGTGGCCAGATTCATTGACTGCGCCGTACTTCTACTCACTGATGAATCTGGAGATCCTCTACTTGCCTCAAAAGGCGTAGATCTGAACTCTTATAGAACTAGGATTACAAAGCAATGCGTTCAATTAGACCTGTTTCTACTCGACCGTAATCTACTAATGTATTTATCCAATATACCTAAGGACACAGATCACTTTTTCGTACGCCGTTGCTCATTACGTCGACTACTCGAAGCGCCGTACGAAGGACTCTGCAAATTTCTTCTTCACGAACCTTAGTAAGATATGATTGATAGAAATGGGAGTAAAATCATCAGTATCAATTGCCTGACAGATGCCACCTAGAAGGAGACCCCTTCTCTCTCAACCCCACCAACACCCAAACTATTGACACAACCCCTACGACCGCGATACAAACTCCGGTCAGTACGGACACGGCGAAACTTCTCTGATTTTCGAGAAGCGGCCTAGAACGACACGTCTTTGAGGACCTCAAACATTCAACGAATTAGTGAGCGATAACTTTAAAGCTTATCTCTTCTATATCTCTGTTTCCGTGTTCTACCACTATTCATTTCCGAATTTTATTGTATCGGAAATCAAAAAAACAATGTTTATATCCTTACATAATTGATATGGACATTAGAATAGGTTCAGGTGTATTTATTGTGCTAATATGAGTGTGCATAAGTTTTATAAAAGTCAATAAACCTATACTGCCTTATTTTTATGGCTGTCACTCAATATATATACACATATATACCAGTTTATGTTTTGGCACGTCTTCCTCGCTTGCGTATCAATGGGCGTTTTTCGACATGCATTTACATTTTCATTTTTTTTAATTTCTAGGACCACTGGCAAAGACAAAAGGCAGAAGACGATCACAGTTTCTGACGCACAAAGCAAGCTATCAGAAGCACTTTTATCAGCATCTTGCATGTGGTGTCGAAACTCCTGGCTGGTCACGTCACTGAGTCTTCACTACTCCACTAGAGAGGAGTTAGCTGTAGCGGAAAATAAATTTCATGAATAAATAGTTCTGCAAGTCCTCTACATTGATACCGATCCCATTAGTTATGTCGGACACACCATATCTGAATGCTTTCAGTTATGCATCGGCCCCAGATCATTATTGGTTACGCCTCTCCTCGCATCAGCGAGCAAACTTGGTTCACTAACTCCGAGAAATCCCAACTACCATATAAATAAACCTTCACACTTCCATATTCCCAACATCTGGTTTGACATAATATTGGATATTTCTGATCTGATATATGTTACCAACATCGGTTTTCTTCAACTCTGAATATCCGTGACTTTCTCAGGGTAAATCTTATTTGGCAGATTTTCATCCAGCTTCGTAACTTAATTGTATCGAATGGTTGTGAACAGACTAGATGAACTTTCGCTTCTTTGTCTTGTGACAGTGGATAACCGATACCTCCAGATAGGAACCTAGAAATGATCGTCTAGTAAGGGAGAAATATTATTAATTTGTAATGAAATACTGTTCTAGTTCCTTAAGGATGTCTCATGTTTGTTTTTGAAGGAACTCTTGGGAGACAGTTTCAGTAATAAGGATAGTTGTTCGGCAGACCTGTGCTAATCCATGGAAGTTATTTTCAAGTGAAGTTCCAGCTTCTTTTTGAAAGTGTATATTGGTTCGGCAGACACCACTTTTTCAAGTTGAATGTTGTAGTCAGTGGTTACTAGAGGGGAAAAACGAAATCTCATCCTAAGTTTATTTAATCGCGGCTTTAGAACCTTCTTGAAGTGGCTTCAATGACAATTAGTTCTGAAGGGAGCAAAAAGACAATATGTATTAACCACCAGATTGTTGTTCAAGATACGTAATTATAGTTTAAAATCACCCTACCTTCTACCTTAAGATAAGCGGGAAATATCGAGGCATTTTAAGCGCTTTTTAGAGGAGTGTTCGGAAATACAAATTACTGAATTAGTTCCCACTTGTTGAGCACAGTCAGTCATTCAACTGACTCAGGCTTCGATCGAGCAAATAAAAGGTTCTGTCCCACAGACATGGGTAGATTGGGGTTATCGCCCCACTGTCATGGATGCCGGTTAGATACACCACGGTACCCCCTTGTGGTACACCACTTTCGATCACATTGTATTCGCATAGTATCCCACTTAATCTCACACTCTGTCTTCTGTCATGACGTTTTTCCCACTCACGTACGATAACTGTTATCTCTTAGGCTTAGGGACAATGTCAAATTATCGCTATTTGCTAATGGGGTAAGGTAGCTGTTTTCGCTTTGGTGTGTGCTGAGGATTTGCGATAAATTTTATCAGTCCACAATGAAGTGTAGTGGACAACAAACCACCCCTAAAAAATACATCCGAAGTTTTAAAATTCATCCAGTTGATGTGCGGTGTGTTCGAATCTGCAACGATAGGATGACAAAGAGCCTTAGTCCATGTACAGATATGACTTAAGATAAGGTCGTCGGCAATAATAATAATAATAATAATAATAATAATAATAATAATATATTTATTCTCAAATAACTACGTTACAAGAGTCACGCCAGTTTACAGGCTAGATCGAATCAATACATACCATTATGGTGCACCTTTGGTATACTCTGCGGTACACGAAAGCGACCTCCAATATATAAAATTGATAACGCAGATAATAATTGTTGAGGAAGATCACTCGTACAACTTAAGAAGTTTTCCTAATACAGAACCCTAAAAGAGTCAGCTGGGTCGTTCTGCAGACTGACCCGGACCATAAAAACGCGATCATTTTAAAGGAAGTGAGTTGATTAACTAAAGACGATTGGTTTATTGACGAAACGTATGAATGACTTGATAAGAAGTGTTTCAGAAGTCACGGCGTATCACATTAAACTTCGCAGCAGTTTGGTCATACTGGCATGTTTCTTCTTGAAACAGTGTTGCTGGTGGTAAAAGTGGTTGATCAGAAATAATTAGTTGCACGAACCGTCATCTATTTAGAGGAAATGGAATGAACTGCTACCATCCAGTGGCTCGTATGTTCACTGCATCCACCCCAATTGAAAACAGACATAACGTTCGCGAGCTTCCTATTGGTTGAGACCACACATTTGCTTGGTAAATGTTACAGAATCCCGCTAAGCGGTGTGGCCAAGACTGAAGACGCTACCTTCAGTATAGGGGGGAGAACCATGTCCGAACTATCGGAAGTATCCTTGTTTATATTATGCATTATTTGAGTAACCAGAACAGCGCTTAACTTTACTTCTAAGATCCTTCCAGGGTTGCAAGGGAAGCTCCCGTTACTGTTGTACGTGCGCGACGGTTGAAATGTTTGGACGCTGCTGCCAGAAGCTCTACAGGTATCTTTTTCTTCGTTGGTCGGGTCATTAGGACATCACGGCTTGTAGAAATGAGGCTGTGTAACCAAGTAAACTCTTTGGATTGGGGAAGAATTTGTTGATCAGTCTGGTCTAATATTGGAACTTATCTTCCCCTAGCGTCTTTTCACACTGCTTTCCTGTTGGTCTGAAGCATCGGTAAATTCTGTCGTCACCAGTCCGTTTGTATTCCACCCATCAGTACCTTTCAAGTTTCGGTATTTGAAGAGTGCAATTAATAATGTCTAAGAGTTACTTGTAATAACTGTAGACCGTTTGTGAGACACTCTGGTTCCTAGCACGTAAGATTTTGTTGAGTACGAAATGCAATTGAGCCTCCACATCACGTTGTGCGTACGCCTGCTTCAGATTATATTATAAAGCTCAAAAATCCAGTCGTCCTAAGTTCTTGTGCCGGTTGTTAATAGAATCTTTCAGCTCAGTTTTGACAACGAAAATGAAGCCTATGGTGACGTTATCGCTTTTCGACGTGAGAGGTAGAATTGAACGGTTATCAATCAGGAATTCTTTGTTTATGAAGATACATTTCAAGCGTGACGGCGTCTGACTGTTTCTTTCCCATGTCGGTAAGTCTGCATTATCAAATTACCCCAACTCCTCAATGGACAATGGGGCGGTAAACTCAATCTTTCTATGTCTGTGGGACAGAACATTTTGTTTGCTAATGGCTCCTTAAGATCAAGCAGGATGTAACTTATCAATGATAATGATGTTACTTTT